CTACTGTTAGAACCACTCCCTCCTCCTCTTCCCCTCCTGGCTTCCTTCTCTTCTCTGATAAAATCCCACCTTCTGCAAGAAGTCTTTCTTTTCCTGGTCCTCTTCAATTGTCCTGCCTTCCCTCTGAGATGACTCCCAAATTTGTACTATACTCATCTTGTTTGTACTCAGCTGTTTCCCACATTAGATGTTGGGCTCCTTGAAAGCCGGGCGTTTCCTGAAATGGCTTCATTTTGTGACAACAATGGTCATGAACGTGTGCTTCTACTTACAACAGGCAACCTTAACTGGATGAAAGCAGACTCAACAGATTTCTCCACCTTCAGTTAGTTCTTGAATGCTGGAAGTCATGCCATACGTGTGTGTTTGTTTCACTGTTCTCTATTACTGTTTTTAATAATGTCATCACTCTAAAGAAACAGCACAAAAGGTGTAGCTACTGCCTTCTGGATGGTCTCCCTGCCTCCAGCCTTTCCCAACTTGTTATCTTCCACTCTGCTACCCAACAGCCCTTCCTAAAGCACAAGACTGACTGTGTCGGCCCTCCAGCCAATCAGCTCCAGCGGCTCCCGGTGCCTTCATGATCAAAAATAAAATCCCTTTGTAGCCCGATCCCTTCCTTCCTGCCTTTCTAGTCTTCTTACCCCTTCCTCCCCTGCCAAGCACCGTGACATCCAGTTACAGTGGCCTTCATGCTGGTGCTGGAAAACAATCCATCTCTGGTCTGGGAGCATTCTCACTGGCTGTCCCTGTGCTCCAAACTCTCTTCTTCTCCATCTCCATCTCCATCTCCTGGCTTCCTTCAAGTCCCAGCTCAAATCTCACCTTCTATAAGAAACCTTCCCCGAATCCCCTTCATGCTAGTGGCTTCCTTTTGTGGTCCTCTCCAATTTATACCGTACCTATCTTATTTGTACATGGGTGTTTGCATGTCGTCTCCCCGTCAGATTGTGAGCTTAAGAGCAAGGATTGCCTTTTTTGCCCCTCTTTGTATCCCCAGCTCTTAGCACAGTACCTGGTACAAAGGAGGTGCTTAAAAAATGCTTGCTGAGGGGCAGCTAGGTGGTGCAGTGGATAGAGCTCTGGCCTTGGAGTCAAGAGGACGTGGGTTCAAATCCAGCCTCAGACAATTGACACTTACTAGCTGTGTGACCCTGGGCAAGTCACTTAACCCCAACTGCCTAAGGGGGGGGGGAATGCTTATTGGCTTGACTTAGATCTTAAAAAGCACACAGCATTGACCATGAACAATACTGCATAGCTGCTGGTATGGAGAAGTCAAGGGTTTTAAGGATTCAAGTTCAAGATTTCAAACTCACCACAAAAAAGAATCAGTTGCAACAAAGAAAGGAAAGGAAAACCACCAAGAAGTGACAAGAAGCCTTGCAGATAAACAATCTAATTAATGCTCAAAAAGCAAGCAAGGCCTTCGGAGGCCCCTGGCAGCTGGAGGCATTGCCACAGATGAAGCCTGGGCTTCTTAAAGTTGGCACAAGGATGAGAATACCAGGTTTTTTGGTTTTGATGTGGTTTTTTTTTAAAGGTGCTAACCCTACTATGGGGGGAAAAAACTTGTCACGGGCAATATAATAGAAAAACTGGAGCATGGGAAAGTGGACACTTTCACTCAAGTCTATCAAAATTGTATTCATAAAAAAGTCCAAGTGAGCCAATACAAGCTGGACGTCGTCCTCAGACTGTAAACCCAACCAAAATGGGGCCCTGGTAACTTTTTACTTTCAGTGGGCCTGGAACTGTGATCTCTATTGAGGAATTATGAATTCCAATATTGACAGACTATTCCAGAATTATAAACATTCCCAAAGGGAGACAGAATATTGCAACCTACCTACATGTCACCAAAGGTTAACCAATTTCTCCAAGAGATAGGGATAAATATGCTTCAATAGCCATGGAACTCACCTGATTTAAATCCCATTGAAAACCAATAGGTTATAATCAAGGCTAGCTTGGGGAAATGGACTATTTGTCAAAGGTACCCTTAATATCCAGTGTGATGAGCATGGTTTCATGATAAAGAATTAAGGAACGCACGTCAAAGTCTTGTGAACTCAATGTCAAATCATATAAAACAAGTGACTCTAGCAAAAGAAGGACATATTACATAAAGTTTTTAAAGAGGTGAAAAGCTGTAAGGTTTATTGTAAGTCTACATGCTTCATTATTTTATTTTGTCACTGCTGGTACTGGGCACAGCACCAGATATGTCCAAAGAAAGACTCAAACCCAGGTCCCTCCTGACTCAAGCTGCCACTATCTAAATGAGAGTCCTGTCCAAGGCAAGGCCTGCAAAATTTCAAAATAACTGCGCCTCGTCTACTCAAACGGTGTTAGCCCCAGTCAACAAAACTTCGGGCTTCACCTCCCACGCATTCTGTTTTCCTAAACAAAGACTTGGCCTACTGGTTATAATATAAACAGGTTTCTTCATTTCTGCCGAAAATAAATCACACTTTTAGAACTTGAGAAGGTGGAACATCAAGGTCATGGGATGTGATTCCCTCATTTTACAGCTTGGGATACTGAGGTTCTGAGGCAGAAGTGAAATTGGATCCAAGGTCTCCTCAGACCACCACACACACCACGCTTCCTCCGGAGTGAACTAGATTTTAAATAAGTACCAAATGGACAGGTGCCAGGATATTGGGAAATTGTCATCACGCCAGGCAGCATCAGAGACTCAGGGTAAGGTGTAAAAGGAAGTACTTGCAGCATTAATTCCAAAAGCAGCAGGCTTCAAGGTATGTCACAATAGCAAAATATCAGACTGACTACTGGCTGTTCTGGAGGCTGTAGGGCAGGAATCATGGAGTGATCTACCAGGAGGGAAAAGGCTCAGAGAAATTAGTAAGTAAATAAGCAACAAGGAGGAAAAGGAAAGTGACAGGATCTTATATTCTATCAGGAAATTCAACACCTTCAATTCCAAACAATTTGATAGCTATGCAATTTAGGGGAAGATCACTTCCTAAAATGACTATCAGGACAAGTCAACTTTTCCTGAGCACCAACTGACTAACTGGCTTTCATCGATGGTGAGAAGGAGAAAGGGCGATGGATTATACTCCTTTTCGACAATTCAATAAGCCATCGTTCTCTAAAGTATTTACTGTGGCACTGGGGACACAGATAAAAATTAAAGCCATCTCTGCCCTCCCTCAGGTGCTTATACCGTCTTGGGAAGAAGGAACAGGGATCCAGGAAAGTAAACACAGAGGTAAATACAAAGTAATTGTGTGTGGGGGCAGGGCCATCCCCCTTGACTGGTGAAGTCCCTATGTAGGAGATGGCATCTGACACAAGCCTTGGATGGGCCAAAGGATTCCAAAGAGGCAGAGGGGTGGAGGTGGGGGGTGGGGGAGCATTCCTGGCACACAGAACAGCCGGAACAAAAGCACTTTTGATGGGAAGAGCAAACAGGTCAATCTGATGGAAAAGAGAGTTTGTTCAGGAGAGTACTATGAAATAAACCGGGAAAGACAGGTTGGAGAAAGGTTGTGAAAAGTATCTTGGAGGCAAATAGTCACCGAAGCATTCTGAGCAAGGGAGTGAGTGACATGGACAGACCTGCACCTGAAGAACATCAATTCCACAGCTGCATGGATAATGGATTAGAAGGGAGAGCCTAGAGAGAGGGGCTGAATAGGCACAGCTAGTGGTGAAAAGTGATGCCAACGGAGAACAGGCAAGACCTGGCAATAGACTGAACAGAGACGGGAAGCGAGAAAGAGAGAAATGGTGGAGATGCTTCTGGGATTTCAAATCCGGGTGACTGAAATTCTCTATTTCACATTACCCACTTTACAAACTGTTTCCAATTTATTGGAAATTATCTCGTACTTAGTTGCCTGTAGAAATGCAATACTCCCAACAATGTGTAAGCTCTTTGAGGATGAAGGCTGTTTTTCACTGTCGTCTTTGCATCTTCAGCCCCTAGCACATAAGTACTTGATAAATGCTTCTTCTTGTTCCTGGTAGCATCTTGCCAAACTAATCTTTACCTGCTCCCTAATTACTTCTAGCAATATCTTTTAGCCTATATCTCTATATCTCTAGGACAAGGGACTCCTAATTTTACTTCCTGTCCACATCCTCAGTATACCATTCTAAACATACTAAACATAAATAATCAGAGGAGGTTTGCTGGCATTCTCAAACCTTTGCAAGAGGTGATACAGGTACTTCATCTTAAAAGTCTCTATGATTTCACAGTATACCTGAGATCATATTGCTTGCCTTCTCAATGAGTACGGGAGGAACTCAAAACTTTAAAAAAAAAAAAAAGAATGTTAAAAATAAATAAATAATAATGTTAAATAATTTTTAAAGTTTAATTTAGTAAGATTTAAAATATCCAAAAGTCTATGTACAAAGTAAATATTTTAAAATTATTTGGTAAAGCAAACAGTTCACCCACTAGGCCTGGGTCTCGGGACACTTATTAACTAACACAAGTCACTTTAACTTTCCTGGGCCTCAAGTTTCCTTATCTATAAAAAGGGGAAAATTATAAGCATCCACTTCCCAGGATAGTTGTGAGGATCAAACTGAGATGATCTTTGCAAATCGCTTTGCAAACCTTAAACTGCAGTATAAATACTGGCTATTATTGTATCATAGTAGGCGCTTATTAAATAGTTGTTGCCTTAATACGTGCCTCTAGACGAAGCGATTTGATCCAGGGCACAGAACTCGAACCCAAGACCTCTCCCTCATTCCAAATTTACCCCTTTGTCCATTGCACCAGACTGACTGCTCTGGTTCATTCACCCGATCTGGGCCTCTCCTTCCCCTCCCCGCCATAGGTAAGGGCAGGGAAGGCCGGGGCTACCCCTCTTTCCAGACCGCAGGTTCTGAGAGATCTCCCCCACCCCCTCCAGGCTCCCTAATGAATAATCATGAGGTCTCATTAATATTCAAGAACCCGACCCCGAGGAGTTGGTGGGGAGAAGTCCCAGGTTCATAATTCAGGAGCCCACCTGAAGCCGCCGACTCGCCTCAAGCCGAGTCCTCGGGCCCGTCCGGCAGCGCCCGCATTCCGTTGTTAGGTTTTCCGGCCCTGACGGCGGCGCCGGGCCACGGCGGCCCTCCTCGCCCCATACAAGCCGCTCCTCCAACCGTGACAGGACAAACTCCGCGAGCCGCACACCGCTCCATGCTCTCCGCCCCTCGTTACCTGGAGACGCCTCTGACGGACGGCCTTCGCTCTCATTGGAGGGGAAACGAATAGGAGGCGGGATCCGAGGGAGACCAGCCAATGGAACTGTGCTGAGGATGGGCCTAATAGGTCAAACAAGCAGCAGGTAGGGAGGGAGCCGGGGCGTTTAGGCTTGGATTGGTAACGGAAGGCAGGACGGAGGACTCACTAGGAAGAAATTTTGAGGGGAGGAAGGATATGGCCTATTTCCAGCGAGGCTCCTTCCACTCTGTTAGCCCCCGTCCTCCAGTAACTAAATATGTGGAGTGACGAGAGGTCATCTTTTAAAAGATTATAGGAGCTGGTGGAGCCTGGTTTATTTTAAAATTTATTTTACTAAAGGCTGCTGCCACAAATGGGCTCGTCCAATGGGGAAAGGAGGGAGGGGAGGTGATGCACAGCCTCCTGGGAAATGTAGTCTCTACCTTATTTTCCCACGTGCAGATTGAGTCCTTCCAGTTTAAAATGAGACAGGGAGAGCCTTTGCCCGAGGCACAGCTATGCCAGCCTTGAGACCTTGATTCTATAGGTCATTTGACGTTTATTGAAAGCTAATTGCGTGCTGGGCGTTCTGTGGCATACTGATAGGGTGCTTCACCTCCTAGGTCTTACAATCCAGAGTAACCTATTTATAGTGTGTGTGTGTGTGTGTGTGTGTGTGTGTGTGTGTGTGTGTGTGTGTGTGTGTGTGTGTGTATTATAAGGATTTATATAGCACCCACATTGTGCCGGGCACCGTACTATACAAATATCATCTTGTGTTGTTAAGGTTCAGATGTTAGGGGTGCTGGGACCCCAAAATCAGGATGCCGTGGGTCCTGCCCAAAAGAATTTGACCCAAGCCTTCTTTCAGCCAAAGACAAGGTTTGTTAAAGATGAACCATATAGGCCAGACTCTTAAGGACATTTGTGATGCTTTGTAAGGGGGCATGAGGAAGTCTCAGGCCCTAAATGGTGGCTACAAAGGATCTTATATACAGAAAGACTATAGGAGGGATCTGGGAGCAGTCAAGTAGTTTTAGGGTGTCTTGGGCGGGGTGCCTGGCAGAAGGGGCATGTTGATGGGAGTGGCTAGTACTAGAGGAGGAGGCGTTTAGGGAGGATCTTGAATCTGGAGTGACTGGGGGTGGGTCCTGGGAGAATCCTAATGGGAGTGTCTGGGAGCCTGAATGGGGTCATCCACCCCATAGACTGCATGTAGGGCTAAACTTAATCAAGATAATAAAGAAATTGGGAGATTGGGCCTAGACAGATAAGGAAAGCCAGTTGAGTGAATTATAGCCTCTGACTAAGTGATTTCAAGGAAAGTTTAAGGGTTTTGTGGGGCTGTAGATAAATGGGACCCAAATTCTTTTTGGGGTGAGGGGCAAAGGTCTCAAGCTGTACCCCATCAGTGTCAGATTCAGCAACCCTGGTGAGTAGATGCTGTTATTTCCCCCCATTTTACAGTTGAGGAAATTGAGGCAAACTGAGGTTAAGTGATTAGCCCAGGGTCACACAGCTAGTAAGTGTCTGAGGGTGAATTTAAACTCAGCTCTTCCAGCCTCCAAGCCCAGCTGTCTATCCACTGAGCCATCTCACTGTTTAGACATCGTCTAGGTTAAATATTCTGAACCCAGGACCCATGAACTTATTGGATGTATGTATGCATGTAGCTATGTATGTATAAATACATATATATAATGTGTGTATGTATGTGTGTATATATACATATAGATAACTTTCAATGTTTTCCCTTTGTAATCCAATATATTTTACTATATACATATACTTTATACAAAGGAAAACCCTGGACTTTCCCACAAGGCCAAGTCTCTGGCATTAGCCTGAGGCTATAATCCCATCAACTAGCCTTTCATTGTGACTACACCAATCTCCCCTCCATTGTCTTGCCTCCCTATGGCACCAGGCCATTTCCCACTCTTGGTAATTCTATGGACCACTTGGCCTCTCCTAGATCCCTCCCACAGGCTTTCTGTATATAAGGTCCATCTTCTCTCCATTAAGGTGCTTAGATTCTTATAATCTAGCTGCTGCTGGGATTCTTATAATTTAGCCAATAGTTTACTAATGTTCAGACTCCTTAAGAGTCTGCCTAATATGATGGATGTTCTAATAAATCTTGCCCTTGGCTGAAAGACGGCTTGGGTTGAATTCTTTCAAGCAGGACTCACGTGTTGTGATTTTGGGGTCCCAGCACCCCTGAACCTCTAAACCACATCAGAACCAGGATTTGAACACAAGTTCTCTGGCTCCAAATTCACCTCACTTTCTATTGTACTTCTAGAAATTAGCCTCTTTTAAGATGTTCATTCATATCTTGTCTTTACATCATCTGTATTTCTAAATCTATCCCTCACCCTACTTATGGAACCTCCCCTTAACTAAAAAGAAAAAAGTGGGAAGAGGGGGACGTGGGGGTGGTGGGGAACCAGACAGTGCCAGGAGCCCAGCAAAACTAAACAAGATCAACTGTGTGAGATAGTCTATGCAATGTTGTACACCCATTGTCCTCCACCTCTGCAAAGAGGGGAGAGAGGTACATTGTTTTTCAAAGCTGCTTAGGGGTTTTTTATTCTTGTTACTATTTGCCTTTACATTGTTATAATCATTAGATACTGTTTTCCTTTTTCTGCTTACTTCTCTTGGCTTCTGTCTGTCTTTTATATTCTTCGCTGCTTAGTCATAATCATCTTCCATTATGTTATAAAGATGACTCCAGACTCAATTCTGAAGACTAGTGTCTCAAAGACTTTTTATTAAAGAGGTTGAAGTGCGTCATTTCGATTCTCTCGAGATGCAGGTGCACCTCCTTGGAAGGAAAGAAATGCAGGGGGTAAAAGAAGCCAGGGCAATCTTTATAGTTAGTAATTGCCTAACTCCTCCCTTCTGGATTAGGATTGGTCCTAATCCTTCTGGGTTACAATCTTCCTTATATGCCCCACCCCTAACATACATTATGTGCCTAGAATTATCACTTCTCCCTGGACAGAGAAGTTAGCCTGTCTCTGTGCTGAATTCTTATCTACTTATGTGGAAACTTAACTCATTCATTTCTCACACATATTGAATTTGTTTATTCACAATCACAAACCAATCACAAATTATTTTGTTTCCAATCGTTTTGTTGCTATAGAAAGTGCTACAATAAATATTTTGGTTGTCTGGGATTTTTCATTGAGCTCAAGTCTAGCAATAGGCCCTCTGGATCATAGGGTATAGATATTTTAATCACTCTGTCAACATAATTTCGAATTCCAGAATCAGCTTTCCAGAATCATTGGGATGCTTCCCAGCTCAATCTACAGGGTATTAGTTAGTACTCTTTCTTGCCACAACCCCTCCAACATAGACTTTCCATCTTTTGTCATCTTTGCTAACTTGTTTGGTACTGGGGAAAACCTTGAAGGTATTTTGATGTTCATTTCTCTTATTAATTAGGAACTGATTTTTATTTATTTTTTTGGTGAGGCAATCAGGGTTATATGACTTGCCCAAGGTCACACAGCTAGTAAGTGTCAGGAGTTGAGGCCAGATTTGAATAGGAACTGAATTTAAAAAAAAAATCTCTACAATGTACAGGTTTAACCAAAAAGTTTTCCATTCCAGTAGAGGGAGGAAAGAGGTCCAGAATGAAGGACTTTTTTTTTTTTTTTACCAAAAACAAATTAAAGGACACTAGACTTTTTCATTTTATGACCAGACCATCAACAACTTGGTAGACAAGTCTTAGAAAACTCTCCAAGGGAAGTTGTGATTTGCTATAGCTTAGGACAAGTCAGAAGCAGGCTTCCTGGAAGCAAAATTCTAACGCTCTGTTACACTCACAGGGGACAAAATGAGGGCCCTCTAGTGGTCATACAAAGGTCTATTTTGTTCCCTCCTTTGAGCACAGATCAGCTAACTATGGCCTACAGACCTGCAAGCTAAATTTTTTTTAATTAAAAAAATATAGTTAAAATAAATAATTTTAAATAGTTTTAAAAATAAAGTTTCATTTGAGCACATATTATCTATGGTTGCTTTTTGTCTGGCCATTTTTGTTTCTACCATGGCAGAATTGGTAGTTGGGACAGAGACCATACATGGTTTCTAATCATTTCTGACGGCTTGGCACATGGCAAATTGCAGTGATGGTTATAACTGGCCAGCATTTTGAGTGCCAGGTGCATTGCTTTACCATGACATTTGATTATTTTTATTACCAGTGAATACTTATCAAAGCAAGAAAATTAGAGGAACAAAAGTTTAATTACAACTTTTTTTTTTAGCTCAGGGCTACGATTGACATTTTTCTGAACTTGGAAAACTGCCCTCAAGACTAAGATTGAATAGTCATTGACTTCAAGAGGAAGTGATTCATCTGCAATGTAATTAATGTACTATGTTATGGCAAATATCAAGAAGCCTTCCAAGCAGTGAATATGTTCGATCAGAACCATATGCTCCTGGACTGATATCAATATTTAGAAGTACATATCAGCATGAAAAGATATTTTCAAAGATAAATACCTAAAACCTCATTACAGATCAGCATTAACAGATGAACATTTGAAATCAGTTTTGAGGGTAGGGAATACTAACTTTGAACCTCAATTAAGCAAAATGATATCCCCTAAAAAATCCATTCTTTTCATTAGTAAATCTATATTACAAAAAGATATTTTATTATTATCGTTATGTTTTTAATGTCACCGATAAAAAATAGTGAAAATTTGCTTTCTTATTACATAAAGGGCAGGTAGGTGGATAGAGTGCCAGGCCTGGAGTCATGAAAACTGATCTTCCAGAGTTCAAATCTAGCCTCAGACGCTTCCTAGTTATGTGACCCTGGGCAAGTCTCTTAACACTGTTTCATCTCAGTTTCCT